TAATGCGGAAATCTGGGAGTTCCGGTATACGTCGGTGGACACCATCAACATCCGCGGCGCCACCATTCGCTACTTCATCCTTCCGGACTCGTTGCCGCTGGATACACTCTTGATTGATGATGCGCCGAAGCCGAAGAATAAGGCGAGGAAGGAGAGCGAGAAGGTTAGGGGCGGGAGGGGCGGTGGGGGCGGGGGTAGGGGTGGTGGAGGTAGGGGCGGTGGACGTGGCGGTGGGAGGGGACGGGGTGGGAGGGGTGGTGGGAGGGGTTTTTAGATTTTCTGCTGGAAATGGGTGGATGGAGCGCTGTGTGTGGGGGTTTCTTTTTTTTTTTGCAACTTTTTGTTTCTGGCCTTGTGGGGGAGAGAGGAGAGAGGGAGGGGATGTGTTTCTTTTCAAAGGGTATATAAAAACAAAAATTCGAGTCAGCGTTATGAATACCAGCTCTGAGAGACAAGGTATAGTACACAATACAGCTAATGAACTTTTTTGTGGGTGTTTTGAGCAGTTTTTAAATATATATATATAAATTTGTTAGGACAAACTTGTCAGACTACCTCTGTTTCTCCCACTGCACAGAGACGTGCTCTTCAACATAGCCAACCATATTCCTATCCAGAGCCTTTGGTACGCATTTACACGTGAAGGCCATAATAGTCCCCCAATCCATTCCGTCAAACCCTTCATCATCGCCCTCAAGAACAGTGATAGCATGAGGCATGATTTGAAACTCAAACACCCTCGTGGAGCCTCCACAATTCCCACACTTGGGTATCCGCGTAGCGAGGAACCCCTCATCATTCGGATTCAGAAGCCTTCCGACATCATCCGACACAGCGTAGAACAACGGCGTGCCCCCACACTCGTAGCGCAATACCTGCTCTGGATTATTAGCTATCCGGTCGGCAAATCTCTGGAATACGTCGTCGTCGATCTGATCGTTGGAAGGGGTGCTGTTGTCCTGTCCGGACTTGCCGCCTTCATTTTCGTCATCATCATCCCCCGTCTGAGACATCAGTCTTTCATACTTTCTGAGTTGGTGGGCTTTGAGCCCGGTGGTTCTCTCTACAGCTTCGTATTCGGCGTCTAAATGGAAGAGGGGGTATTCGTGGGGGAGTTTCTCGGGCCAGGGTTCGGCAGGGCCAAAGTACTTGGTGGCCCCAGTTTCGTGGGATGGGACGCCGTCTTCAGCAAGTTTGAGGGCCTGAGCGAAGGACTTTGTTAAGGATTTTGTACCGGTTTGTGGATCCGCGGGTAGCGATTGCTGTTCTGGGGGTGGGGAGAGTGGGGTTGGGGTGGTAGTGGATAAAGAAAAAGGGTTCGCATTACTCGTTGTAGAATTTGTGGAGAAAGGATTTGAGTTACTCGTTGTGGACCCCATAGAGAACGGATTCGATCCAGCAGCTGGTTTCGACGATCCGCCAAAGAGAAAATCCCCATGCTGAACCGCCTCCACCTTCTGCTTTTCCGGCCTTGGAAAGTCTTCCTTCTTGGGAACATCGACAAACCCCTCAGGCTCTTCTGGCACATCCGCAGAGCGCATCACTGCTCGAAGCACTTTTGCATAGTTCTTCCTCCATCGACATGTCTTTGTCCTACAAGCAAACAGGTAGAACATTCTCGCGTGCGGACTCTCGGTGATTTCACCGTTGAGTTGTAATAGTAGCGACATCATCTTGCCGCAATGCTCGCACTTGGCTAGTCGAGCATCTGGGGGGGAATTGGGGTGTAGCCATGTCTGTAAATCACGCAACAGTCTACGAGTTAATGAATGACTGAATTCGTGGGCATTCGTAGGAGGTAAAGTAGGGAAAAGAAAAAGGAAGGGAGGGAAGTGTTACTGGTTTACCACCGAGATGGCTGTAGGTATCGTCCGTGGGTTCTTTCTCTGCATAGCCTAGGAGAACGGAGGTGGTTTCTATTGAGTCGGAGTCGGGGTCGGGATCGAGGTCCATTTTTGTTTTTGAATTGCTGCCCATTTTGCTCTGGATGCGCTCTCTTGTTCTTTTTTGTTAGGTTGTTCAAGTTAAATTGGACCCAGCAGTGGTATTTGTTTGTGGGTATGTAGAAAGTTGGGTGTTTGGGGTGAACTTTATACTATCCTCCCTGTGGATGGCGGGGTTGTCATCTCGAACATTTTTTCTTATCAGATTCTACTGTCAACAACTCTTAGTGGATGAGGGGCGCGACCGGGATGTTATCTTGGCGCCATCTACGTCGACGATCCTCCCAACGAGTTGTGGGTGCCAACCCCTCCAATAATAACACACAAACATGGCTTCATCTTCTAGTCCTCAAGTTTCGAAAGACCGACAGTTTATAGCTGTCATTGGTGACGAGGTGGTTTGCCCATTATCCGTTCTTCACCTTGTCTGGACATTAAACGCTGATCGTAACAGGACACTGTTACCGGCTTGTTGCTCGCGGGCATAGGTCATGTAACAGCTCCGCCGAATGTCACCAAGAACTTCCTTGTCGTTGACACGAAGATCGAGACGGATAAGATCGAGAAGGCTTTCGACGAGTTTGTCAATAGGAAGGATATTGGAATTTTGTTAATCAATCAACACGTATGGATCTTGGGGTGCGAGCCGGTGACGGTAGGAGGTGGGGAAGCTGATGGATGGGGGCGAATAACAGATTGCGGAGAAGATTCGCTATAGGGTCGACACATATACAGCAGCGTTCCCGGCGGTCTTGGAAATCCCGTCTAAAGACCACCCGTACGATCCGGAGAAGGACAGCGTGCTACGCAGGGTGAGGAGGCTATTTGGGGAATAGGTGGGGGGGGGGGTTGACTTAGAATTCTGTTGAAAGGGAGCACGTATGAAATAGGGACTATGGATGCGGTAAAAATTGTGGGATAAAGCTACTAATACCATTACACAATCAATATGGGTTCCCCCGCTTCGTGCCCCCTTTCAGCGATCATTAAAGCCCATGCCCACGGAACTCCGGGATGTTGTGATTAAGTTACACGAATTCATCAGCTTCCGCCTCGGCTTTAGATTTGGCAGCTTGCTCCTCCATTTGCTTCCTCTCAAACTCATCATACTCCTCTCGATTATCTATCCACCGCTCCTGAATATCCTGTGCAGACATCCCAACCCCCCACCCTCCTCTCATCGCCAGTGTCCAAACATTATCGCCAGCGCCTTCCGCTTCTCCAAAAGCATACCCGCCGGTCCTGTCAACCGCCTGTAGCATATGCGTCATGCTGAGCTTATCCTCAACCGCTAATGTCTCAAAACTGACCAAGCCAAAGCTATCGACAAGGTCCACGATCGCCTCATTCAGCTTGGCGTATTTCTTTAGTCGGGGGTCCTCCTCTAGTAACGGTAGCATATGTGTCAAGTCCTGCACCTCTGTGTAGAAATCAAGGTTGAAAGCCAGCGGACCATATTGGTTTATCAGGTCGATTTTTGACAGAACGTTGATATGTGGGAGGTCAAGTTGGAGCATTGAGCGGAGACAGAGGAGAAGGACGGAGATGTATTTTGATGGGTCGGCGCAGTAGTGGGAATCTACTAGGTGTATTACCACTAGCTATTTATTCGCGGTGTTAGCAAGAGGAGCTATTAGGAAGGTCTCAATGAGAGGAAGGGAGCGGGAGAGGGAGGGGAGAGAGAAACGGACTCTATACCCCAATTTCTGTATCCTCAAGAAAATATTCCTAAGACTGGCATGGTGCGTGAAGAGCTCTACTTGCCCCGGGCAATCGAACAAGACATAATCCTCTACCCTCCTCTCCCGCATTAGCCCCCGACACAACCCATCTCCAAAATAAAAGAAATAAAGAAATAAAGAAACATAGAAACAAAGAAACAAAGAAACAAAGGAAAAAGCTAACTCACGACCCAATCGACTCAGCCCCCCCTCCAACCACTCCACATTCCCCTCCAGCTCCTCGAGCGCATACATAATCCCGCCGTTCGGTCCCAATCCTTCCTCATCCATGACCTCCTCCAGCGTGATCAACTCACGCACGTCCAGTGCGCACGGGTACGTCGTCTTCTCGTTTGCCGGGTCAAGATTCACGATTGAGCATTTCCTCCCGATGGCAGACATGAACTGGTACATGCCATTGCAGTAGGTGGATTTCCCTGAGCCGGGGGGGCCAATCACTAGTTGTGCGAAGGGCATCTCAATTTTTTGGCTTTTGATTTGATGGCGTGGTGGGATTTTTGATTGAGTCGTGGGGTGGAATTGTGGAGTGGGATAGGTAAGTTTAATGGGTATTTGGGTTACCCGGTTAGTGATAGTTACTGTTGGCTTATATTCATCAGTGGTCACTCGGGGGAATGGCTTCGGGATAGGTTCCTCCAAACATCTGTCTCAACTAATAATGGAGCTGTGGTATGAGAGGTATGGTTCCGGTCGCGATAAACCTGTACATGCGGCCATTGCCCATCCTAATTATTAAGCGTATTCTTAGCATTTTTATCTTTTTTTTTTTTTTTTTTTTGCGATTCTGCTAGTAATTCTCTGTTTCTTAGGAATATCTGCTACTGAGGGAGTTTAGAAACTTACAAAACCTACCTCTGGGGGGAAAATTTTGCAGGCGGCAATTACTAGTTGTTCCCATACAAGGTGCCCCAACTTCGGACTCAAAGACTATGGTTACCCAGTCCATATTTCCAGAAATTGAAATCATAGATTAATGCAGCAGGTGTTTGGCTACATTTCTATGATCTTAAAATCAAGAAAAGGTTTCTTCATGGTGGTGATCTTTCGGCTTGGAATTGGACCATTATTTTTCCCAGCCATGAGCAGGTTTATCGTGACCTGAACCATAGTTGATTTCTGGAAGGCTTACTCAAGTACTTGATGCTTTAGGGATTTTCGTCTGTATAGAGATGGATGTTAAAACGCTACTATTTAGTCCTTTCTTGGCAAGTATTAGTATCATGCTTCTGGATAGGGTAATCGGCCTGTACTAGTGAACTGCTCACTATGGTTTCAAACCCTACGATTGTAACTTAATACCGTCGTTAAATATAATTCGATTTACTCCCTTTCAACTACTTCCGCGATTGGAGTATTCTTGTTATAGGTTCTCAGCATATTAGCTCAATATGGGAATATCATCTTTGGATAATTCACACCTTCCTTCTGACTGGTGCGATGGGAAATGTTAGCGAGGTAAGGAAAAGTTTTATTAGGAGTGATGCTTTGACTGTCTTGGGTGTATTTTGGTATTCGAGTTGTAAGGGCTATAATATTATTAAGGTAAGTAAGCCATATCTTTAATATACTGGAGCTACTACACTTTGTGTCACTTGTAAAAACACTTGAATCAGCTAATATATTCTTCTCTCTAGAGCTCTTGATACTTTCTCAAACAAATAGTTAGAGTTCTCCTATACTGCTGGCAATTAGCTTATAGATATGGGGTTGAGGTTTCCTGACTCCTTGCCACGGGTACTACTATTATCTGCAGTTGGCAACTTTCAATTGAATTTTCATCTTCAAACTTGAAAAGTTATTAAATTTCTTGAGAGCTGGAACTTATCATACAATGGAGGTGCTTTTGTGTGTCATGCTCATAATAGGGCCTCATAATTTGGGTTCTACCAATTCATTCGGTATACTCCGAAGCCCGAAAAACCAATAGCTTTAGGGAACCGGTCTCACGGATCTAATCGGATATGAAATAATACCACAACTGGTACGAGCCCTGACTGACATGGCCTCTTGCTGCCGCAGTCACTACTGCCTCCAGCACCTACCGGCTCTTCTGCAAACAGGTTACCTCTGTGTACAAGTTCTCTCCACATACGACCTTTCTCACATATCCAATACCTCACAAAAAAAACTTTCTACAAAACCAACAAAAAAAACAAATATCACTATGCAATCCACTCGGAATTTGTTTCTATCGGCCAGCACCGCCCGCGAAGCTCGCAAAAACTACCTCCAAACGCTCCGCACCGAGAGTTACTCCCTCCACCACCAAATCTTTAAGCGCCTGAAACTTATCGAAGAGTACATAACTCATCTCGACAATATGATGAAAGGGTACATCGAACAAGGAATAAAGGTGGGACCTGGCACTCACGAGGTGAACTGCATGCAGAAACTTTTCGTGGATGTGGTGGGCCTTCTCGATATCGCCAGGGTGCTCGTTTCCTTCCCGCTCGCGCCGGGAATCGAAGAATGGGCCGCTCTTAATAGACTCAGGAACATGATTCAGCCGTATGTGGACAATGACGATTGGAAGTTGGCGGGACCTTACTGGACCTGTATGGAGGTCTGGAAGGACCTGTCGTCTGAGGTGCTTAAGTGTGGCAGAAGTTTTCTTAAAAGCGTTGGTGACCTTCTCTATAGACTCGACTTTATTGCCAACCGTGAGAGAATTACTCTTGAAGTTGGTAGTGTCTGGTTTTTTCCTTAACTGTGGTATGTTTTTGAACCTGCTGATTGCTTCTACTGTTGTTGGTAACTAACGACCCCGAATTAGCAATGCTTCTCTCTCTTTTTTTCTTTTCTGTTTGGGCATGGGTTGTTATCATGTTTTTCTTTTCATTATGGTTTCCGTTTTTATTTTATTTTTTATTCTCGTATGACTATTTAGTCAAATGCCTCAAATGCTGTAAGCTCTTTGATGTTTGCTGGTTATATTTGGGGGTATTAGCTGTAGGGTAGTTGTACTTATAAATAAATAAATAAAAATGATAACCATACAACTTAACAATTACCGCCGAGAATTCTACTCTCGGCGCCGTAACCACCAACACCCTAATAATTGCCATAAGATTAGAACTGTTTCTGACCAGCGGAGCCAATAAGAGCAGATATTTCATACAGTCTGACAGTCTACACGGAAACTACAGGAAGTATAACAATATACGATACCACCCGTCCGCTGTAAAGTGAAAAAAGTAGCAGCAAACAGAAAACGAAAGTCAACGATAGTAATAATTTATACAACAGTACCAGATAGATATGGAAAGAAATTATCTCAACTATTTATAAGCCTGTCCGGACTTATCATCTATAAACACAACTCCTAAACACTTATCTATAAGGTAATCAACACGTACGACCTGAGTGACCAACCAAAAGTGGGAAGAACAAAGCGAGCAAGAAAAATAAAAATCTCTATTACCAACCACATCACCGATCAGATAAGGCAATGACTCAAAAGTCGTTTGACAGCATAAAGAAATTCTCTAATCAACAAAGAAAACTGAGAAAGTACGGGTGATTTATTGTGATCCACATCAACCAGCTTATGGGTATAGTATGATTGCGGAGCGTTTCGGCTTCTACTTATGCTCGGTAATTTTGTGAAAGTCACCTTTTTGGCGGGTTGTTCGATGATGCATGCTCGCTACTTCGAGGCATGGATCGGGTCTGACTTGTGTTATTATATAAATTCTAATATATGTCGATAGATAAATGGGACTTGAATTTACTTGCAAAATTTTTTTTTTAAAAGATTTTAAATTTAAAGTTTTCGATTATTCGAGGAGGATCACCACAAGAATTTTTGAACTTCCTTGATTTTGTTAATAATAAAACACTAGAGATTTTTAATTAATTTTAACTTCCTTAATTTCTTTTTTTCAAAAATTCTATATTTCCAAAGCGATGAGTGGTGAGAGGAGTACCGACCGCCCTCTTGCGCAACTGCAGTCGTTATAGTATTATAGGCTCTGCACGATCTCTAGACTTTAGAGGTTCTGAACAAACAAAGAATGATTTTTCTTCCAGCTCCTCCCGGATACGAGGAATAAAGGTAGTTGTTCATTAAGTGAGGTTAGTGTTACTCGCAATTCTCTTCTTTGTACTTCCGTCTGGGTGTCTGGGTTTCTTTATTCGCGGATACCCGCTTGCTAACCAACATTGCCGGGCATAACTTAAGGGAGAGCTAGATTTCAGTCAATTCTGCTAAGTGTTTGACTCTACGACACCCCTCTGCGTAGCTGGTAGAAGTTGTAGGAGGGTGCTTTTGATGGTTCACCAACAGCCCGGTGGCTTGCTCGAACGGGTTAATAGCGTTTATATTGCTGTAGTCCTCTTCATACACTTGCCTACTTTCGGCGACTTGGAACGTTGTTGCGGTGTTGGAAATATTAGTCCCTGTTCGGCATGCAAAAAAATGCCATTTTTTCGGAAATAATCCTGTTCGGCAATCTTTTCTCCATATTCTAGGGTTTTTATATGAGAACAAAAAACACCCTGAAGTATAGGTTTAAATAGGGAAAACCTAAATATTCCCGTTCTTTCTAATCAATGTGACAGTATTTTCAAGTGTTCCCACAAATCACAGGTTGTTCATTTCTCTCCCAGGACTTCAGTTAGTCGTAGGATATGATACTATTTTTTCTTTATTGTACCCTAATACTTTACTAATCTTAGCATACAAAAAAATGCCATAAAAGGAAGCAGAAGCAAAATTTAAAAAATAAAAATGCTATTTTTCAATGCGTGCCGAACAGGGACTAAATTAGGAGAGATGTGCTGCTGGGTTGACAGTTCGTAGTATGGCCTGTTTGGATGCCTGGCTGCTTTCCTGCTTTTAATATTATACTATTTGGCTTGAAGAATTAGAAACCGGGTTTCGGGGCATGGTATACTTCTGGCTCGGCGCTGTTTATAATATTATTATGAGAATATTATTACGATACTGGCTTATACGTGCTTACAACTATCGCAGTGCCATTGCTTTTCCCATACCCCTACCATATCCACTCACCTACAGCATTGGAGAAAACGTCTACAATCAGTCAATAAAAAACCTTTTAAAGTCACATATAATATATGATATAACAAAAAAAATGTCCTACCAGTCCAATCAAAATAATAACACATTCCCTATAATTGAACAGCAGCAACCACAGCCCGCTCCAACCCAGACCCCTACCCAGGAGCGATCCCGGTACCTCCAAAACCTGCACAAGCAAGCAGCGATCCTCAACCATGAACTATCCACGCGACTCACCTTCCTAGGCCACTATATCGACCACGCTGTCTGCGTTATGGACTCCAATCCCGGCCACTGGCACAAAGTTATCAACACCGCACATCCGCTTCTCAACAGCGTCCAGGACCTTGTGCGTTCCGCGGAGGTATTGTCCTCTTTGGGTCTTCATGAGGGTTCCGAAGATGGGCAGAAACTCGAAAGCCTTACACTCACG